TTTTGCAATTGCTTGCAATGCATCACAAAGCTGGACAATGACAAGGGATGATACAAAGAGAGTTGATACCTTTGAGCTGTGGTGCTGGAGAATAGTACTGAATATACCATGGACTGCTAAGAGAACAAACAGGTTCATCCTAGAGAGGGTGAGATGAGGCTGCTCCTTGGAGGCAAGGATTCTGTTGTTTTGTCTGACATATTTTGGGCATGTTGCAAGGAGGGACCAATCCTTGGAGAAGGACATGATGCTTGGAAGGGTGGAGGGACAGCAAAAGAAAGGAAGACCATCAATGAGATGGATTGATTCAGTGACTGCGGTAATGGGGGTAGGTGTATGAGACAATAAAGTTGGCACAGGATAGAGCAGGGTTCAGGGCTGTTGTACAAAGCAAGCAGCTTGATGGCACATAACAACAACAACAACAACAACATACAAGATCTCTATGAATTGAAATCAACTTAATGACACCTACAGTGACCCTCTTGTAAATTGGTCTATAGCTCTAAACCTTCAGACCTGTTGTTCACGGGGTCACTATGAGTTGTACTCAACTTGATGGTATCTACCAACAACAACAGCAAAACCTTGATAGGAGATTTACCATGTTTCAACTATAGATTAGTTGGTGAATTTGAATCACTGGTATTTCAGTTAGCAGCACAGCACATAAACACACCATGCCACCTTCTGTTAGGCCTATTAAATAATTATTTTTGTATATGAGGTGAGGTTCTTTTCTCTGTATACATTTATTGAGTTATTCCACAAAATTTTTAAAAAATATTTTGCTTCCTTTAATGAATTGCTTCAGCATCATTATGAAATTGTTGTTGTGGTGGAGGTATACCATTGAATAGGAACCACTTTATAGCTGACCCTCCAGTAGGTTTTCAGAGGCAATAAATTGCATGAGAGAAGATCACCATCCTTCTCCAGCAGAGCAGCTGGTGGATTTGAACCATTTACCTCTGGGATTGCAGTAGTTTCTATCTCTGAACTCCTTATTTTGTCTCATTACCATTTTTGCCTATCTTTATGCAAGTAATATGGCATTTTAGTTACTTTCTATAAAGTTTAGTTAGCTTTAAAGAAAGCCTTGCTATCAGCTGGTACAGAACCTCTAACTTGGAATTTCTCTTAAAGATTGCTTTAGGTATTCTGTACCGTCTGCTTTTCCAGAAGGCTTTAGTATCTGCATGCCAATTTCAACCAAAGAGTGTATTGAATTTTTACTGATATTATGGTTTCATTTAAGGCAACATATAAAAAGAAATCTTTTATTTCTTCCTTATCTTGTAATGGTTTTGATCTTTCAGTTTAGAGATTTTTCAAATCTGGGGGTATATTTTTTTTATTTCCTGATTCTGATTCTCTTATATATTTTTTAAAAGCTCTAATTGCTTGTTTCTGAGAATTAAAACTAACTTTGTTTTAATGTATTAACACTGCTAAGGAGTTCTGGTAGCCTGTTGGGTCAGGAGCTCCACTATCAACCCAAAGTCTGGTGGTTCGAAGTTATCAGTTGCTCTAAGGAAAAAAAGATGAACAATCTCTTTCTGTGCAGTTTATAGCCTCTAAAATCCCACTGGAAGATCAGCTATGAATTGATTTCAAATTGATGGCATTTAATAAAAGACACAACACATTTCCCAAGCTTTAGTAGCCATTGTAGACTTCTCAGTATCTTAGGTAAGCAATCATGTTATCTATTAATATGACAGTATTACCTCTTCCTGGCCCATTTACATGACTTTTATTTATTTTTCTTATCTTAATGGACTGGCTAGAATTTCCAGTAAAGTAATAACAGTAGACATCCTCACCTTGTTCTTGATCATAGGGACAAAGCATTCTGGCTTTTACTATTAAATATAATATTGACTCTAAGTTTCTCATAAATGATCTTTATAAGGGTATTCTCTTCTAGCTATAGTTTATTGAGATGCTTGGGGGGTTGTCTTTATATTTGGTTTTTAAAAAATTAATGTTTACTGAATTCTTTTTCAAGCATTTTTCTGAATGTTTGAATTATGATTTTCCTTTCCTCTCTTCACATTGGTTAACTTTTAACTATTCACACTACAAAGCCTTCTATAGATAGAAAGATAGGAATAGCCTTGTTTTCTAGGAAAAGACAAGTTATATAAAAAAGTTTTCATTATAGGGAATATTTTACTAAGTATTTACATGGTTAGATAAGAGAGGGTTCAATGGAAGGCTTTCTTGAATTCCTTGTATTTTTTTTTCTCTTCTTCATTGCAGCACCTTGTCCTGATCCACCAAAGATTAGTAATGCCATCTTCAAAGCCTACACCTACAAGAATGGCACCTATTTGACCTGTAATTGCACTAAAGGATTTCGCAGAAAATTACCCTTTATGTCATGCACAGGCAACTCTAGCCATGTTTCCTGGGAAAACAAATGCCAATGCCAAAGTCCTTGTAAGTAATTCCTTTCATAACCACCAAGTGAAGGGGAACTGTAGCACACAGAGACACAATGTCAGGTTTTGTTTTCTCAGCCTAGAGACAAAAATTAACTGGTCCATTCTCCTTCAGAAAAGACAACATGTTCTATACCTGTTTTAACCAATTTTACTTGTCAGGGAGTATTTATTCATTAAATATTTAATGAGCATATATTCGTTCCTACGGAGCAGTTCTACTCTGTATAGACTGCAAAATTTGAAGCATTCTTTGCTGACAGATCCACATCCCTCACACTACGCTGGAATTCTGGCCTGTAGTTTATTACGGTGCCGGTATCCAATTCTTCATCAAATGCCACAGCAAAGGTGTCTTATAGAATAAGTTTTCCTTATCATTGTTTGTTTGTTGTTTAATGCCGTCGAGTCATAGACGACTCATAGCAACCCTATGAACGAACAGCCTGAGCACTGTTCGTACATAGAGTTTCCGGAGGCAAGCCATTTTGGAAGTGGATGCCGCTCCTGCTTCCAGGTTTGATTTAGTCAGGAAGCTCCAGCCAACACTGTCCACCATGGGTGCCCAATACCACGATTGGCACATCACTGTCACAGGCTTCAGCATCACAGCAACCACGAGTTACCTCTGTACAGCAATGCACAGACCAGTGCTATACCACCAGCAAAGGTGTCTTATAGAATAAGTTTTTCTTATCATTACCTTAAGATTTTGTCTAACTTTTTAAGTTCTGAACTGCCTCAGGGGAGCAAAGGAGCGTTGAACCAGTCCACGCCTAATTGCTGTCACTCAAATATTCTTGCACCATGGTGGAAAAATTGATGGGAAAAATAAAGTTCCTTTTGGGGACAGATCTATACACTTCCACTAGGAAAATATTTCATTCTTTCTAAAACACACTGTAGGTTCTGAATGTGTGCACAAGAATGTCAAGGACAGTGCTTGTTGAGCGGCAGCAGGACCCATGCAGGGTGGCCACAGGGTGGGGCCCGTGCATGGCTCCTGTTTGAAATCAGCCTCCTCCCGTTGCCCAGCATGCTCCATACACCAGAAAAGATACACTTTTAGAGCAAATGAATTAATAAACAATCGGGGTGCGAGGGTTCTGTTAAGTATTTTCATGAATTTATTTTCTTCTTCCACACTTTTTTCCTAGCCGGTAGCAGACCAGGAAAACCAATTACACCCAAACCTGAAGAACAGGAAGAAAAAAAGATCACAGAAATGGCAAGTCAAACACAGTCCCAAGTAAACCTTCTAGGTAAGAGATGGCTTTCAAAAAAAAAAAAAAAAAAAGAGAGATGGCTTTCAAATAATCATCCCCTCTCTGATTCTTGGGGACCAACCCTTATCTGACATGATAAATGTTCTCTTAAAGAAGGAAAGTTGGTCTCTCCATCTGTAAGCATGTAATTTCATTCCACCTTTCTAGGATTTTATGTGAACAAGCACTATTCTGCAGTGCTAGCAGGCTTTTCTCTCAGCATCACAGACTCCTCTCATCAGCCTGCCTGGATTCAGGGCTACTTTTCCCTGGGAGTAATGCCTCCTTCGTAGGTTTGGGAGCTAGCCAAAAAGAATCAAGTGTTCTAGCCCTCAAGGAAATGCTTTTTTTACTTTTCCTTCAAATGCAAGGCTGTGAACTGCAAACAAAACCGTTTCCTTCAGGCCACATTGTAAAATGTACTACGCTCAGGATTCTGAAAAGTTGCAGAGAAGTAGCTCTAGCTAATGTACTTCTCAAGGGTGAGCACTGGGAGTATGCTGCCTGCCCACTCCTCTCCAAATGCCTCCTTTACCCAAAGACTCAAGGAACCAAGTTATTTTCAGCTGAGTGAATGAAATGTTATCAGGCACACAGAATTTTCAGTGTCTAACAGTCTCAACAGTGGAGCAAGCTTTAGGCATAGATTGATCAGAACGATTAGGCTCTCTTTCTCTGAGATCCTCTCAGCTCTCATTTCAGGATGTTGGCTGTTTCCTCAGCATTCTCTTTTGGTACCAAGATGGCGACCAGCTGCAGCAAGAGAACGTGCTTCCTCACTTGTCCACTGGAAGCCCAGGAGCTCTTCACACAGCATTGGCTCAAACAGACCCAAGCCCTCTATTCTCCCTCAGCTTAGACCATCTTTCCCTCTTCTGTCATCCCGTCAAGTCCCTCATCATCTTTCAAGGATCATATTCCATGTATTTCTCTCTGAGGTAGCACCAATCGGAATCATTCACTCATTCTTCCTAGCTCCCACAGTGAGAATCTACTCCTCAATGATAACACTCAATACATTCTCCCTCCAAATGCCTTTCTTATCCAACTGTCAGCTCCAGCTGGATCTGTGGTCCTTGTGCATAGCAAAGTTCTCAATACATACTTGCTGACAAGGGAAGGGTGAAGGTGAGGGGTGGGAAGAAAGGGGTGAATGAAAAAAGAACCTAGGTTCAGTCTCTAGAATGAAGTGACTTGTATTCACTCACAATGTGCTCCCCAACTTGCCTTCTGAATTTTCTTTCCCTCTTCCAGGTCACTGCAGGGAGCCACCACCATGGGAACATGAAACTGCGGAGAGAGTGTATGTTTTTGTGGTGGGGCAGACAGTTGAATACCAGTGTATTGAGGGATACAAGGCCCGACAGAGAGGCCCTGTCACAAGCACCTGCAGGACTGTCTGTGGGCAGGCAAAGTGGACACCGCCCAGGCTCACCTGCACAAATGAACTAATTCCAGGTACTGTTTGCAGAAGGTGGCGCCCTTCTTGGGTCCAGAACCATTTTCCTCTATCAGGCCGAGCAGAATAAAATGTCTTACTTGATCATTGTATGGCCTGGGGGCAGCCACTTAATCCCTCTTTTTTTTTAAAAAAAAAAAAAAAACATTTAAAAAAAAAATAGACTACAGGCACACTAAGGTCCCCTCCTTGCAGTCCCCTCTGTTCCCTAGCAGTGGAAAATTTAAGACCCCAAAGTGGAGAGCATTCTTTTAAGTGCTGCCTCACAGAGGGTAATGTTCTAGCACATTCCAAAATGCCACTTCTCCCTCTAAGCTACCAAGACTCCCTCTAGTTCTCTAGTTAAAAGGAGGACTTCGATTTCCCCACATTCAGTTTCTACCCTTTACTCAAGTATAACACAAATACAGTATTTGTCTGGCGCTCCATTGTTAACATGCTGCTTCCTCTTGTGGAAAACACTGTGGAATAGTTCTACTCTCTAACACATGGGGTCACTGTGAGCCAAAATGATCCCAGCTGGTTTAGGCTTGGGCTTTGGTCCCTTTGCTAAACATACAAATGTGCAAAGAAGAGCCAGCTCCTGACCATTATTTCTGAAGGAGAAGGCTCTTTCATGCGCCCATTCATTCATTCATGCAAACCTACTGCACATCAGGGAATGGTCTAGGTGAAGGGCTCAATAGCATGCATATATTGTGTGTGCAATATATATGTAGGTGTACAGAGAAAGAGACAGAGAGAGATCCTGTTTTGGTTTGCCAATGCCTAAAAAAGTCTAAAATGTCCCCCAAGTGCTGAATACTTTCTATTTCTTCTTGAAAGTCTAAGTTGTTGGGGTTTTTTTTCTTTATATAACTCAAATCTACTTTGTTGAGTATGTAAAGGTAGCATCCAGTTTTTGTCTCGTGGCTAATGAGGCCGTTGTCAATGGAGGTGATTAGCCTCACCTCCCTTGTTGTTACTGTTATGTGCCATCGAGTCTTCTATGACTCATAGTGACCCTATGCACAATAGCTCTGACCCCTGGCCTGTCCTGAGCCTGTCTCACTGTCCCTAACACACCTATCCCTGTTCCCTGTAACTGTGTCAATCCATGTCATCCAGGTCTTCCTCTTCTGTGCTGACCCTCCACCCTTCCAAGCATCATATCATTCTCCAAAGACTGCTCCCTTCTGGCAATATGCTCAAAGTTTGTGTGATGGAACTTCAATATCCTTAGCCTCCAAAGAGCAGCCTAGTTTCACCCTCTCCAGGACAGACCTTGCTCTTATTCCTGACTCTCCCTCCTTTCTCACTTTTCTCTCTGCTCCAGATAAAGAAGAAGAAGAATTAAGCCTTCCTGAGAGTGAAATTTCCTGTCCCTCAATAACAGCAGGTATGGCTGGAGTTTCTACAAACACTGTTATTAAGTCACAGTGCTAGAAAATAACAACACAATCCCAGAGGTGCACAGTTCGAATCCACCAGATGCTCTGATGGAAAAAGAGGAGCAATCTTCTCCTGTACCAGTCAGAACCAATTTGACGGTACACACACAAATAAACAATAATAAAATAAATTTTTTAAAAAAATTTTTAAAGGAAACTAACAACACACACACCCCACCACCACCTCCAAAATAGAGACCTCACAAAAAGGAAAACAATATGACCACACTGAGGACAGCAGTCTCAGGACCGTCTAATCCTTGCCATTTGTCTCCATATGTCCTGCTTTCCTTCAGTCTCCTAAGGAGACTAAAGAAATTCATGACGGGGTCCTACGTTTCTCCAGCCTTGTTCTGTCCTACAATGAACATAAACTGAGCCTTTCCCCGCACTTCCTTTCTTTCTCACAGTTCTTAAGAAGCCTACAGAAGTGGCGACAACTGTGGAGACGTTCCTGTTTACTAGTGAGTACCAGATTGCAAGTGGGTTACTCACATTCTTTGTTGACCAAATGTTCACCTGAGGCAGTGGGACATGTTGCTTGCTTGGTTGGTTGGTTGATTGATTTGCTAATCAGTTTCATAAGTAGCCTCCTCCTATACTACTTAATTTTTATATGAGCAAAGAACTGATGCAGATACCAATATAACTAAGTTACAGTAATAAGTTAAACATAAATGGGTTTCA